GGAAGGTTCACCACTGTTCCAAGTTTTCTCCATTTGTGGATAACGGCTCTCACCGTGGTTCGCTGGAGTCCCAAAGCCTTAGAAATGGCTTTGTAACCCTTTCCAGACTGATAGATGTCAATGATTTTGTTTCTCATCTGTTCTCTTTTTTACATCGCGGCATGATGTGTTGCTTTTTGAGATCTTTTAGCCTACTTCACTTTGTCAGACAGGTTCTATTTAAGCTTTTTTCCCTTAATAAATGAAATCATAATTTAAAAACTGCATTTGGTATTCACTTTTAATAAAAACATTTAAGTGTGACAAATATGCAAACAAATAAGAAAAACTGTAAAAGAACCTGTGGAAATATCCAACCTCTCTGTTCTGGTTCTTATATGTTGTACTGTCAAGAACCTTTGTGTTCAGTTTATAGATTAGATGTGTGTGTGTGTGTGTGTGTGTGTGTGTGTGTGTTTAGTCAGTACCAGTCCTGTAGCTTCCTGAGAGCTACGCTGCAGTGCTCCTCCTCCCAGCTCATGTGCTTTCTGACCTCCCTCACCCGCTGGGCCTTCACCCTCTCTGCCTGCTCTCTGAAACGCCGATCCAGCTGCAGCTCCTACACACACACCATACACAACTGAGGTCATTGCATTAACATACATTAATTCCCTTATCCAAACATTAACGATAGTTTGCCTGGGGTTGTTTGCACAAAACACCTTAGATTGACATTTTCCTCAGAATCAGTCTAAATGAGAAGGCTAATTATATCATTAAGCCTGCTTCATGTTCGCTAGCTTTAGACAAAGTTACTGTTGCAGTCTATGCTCTATAGCTCAAATACTTTAATGTGTATTAAATTCAACAATAAATAACTTAGACTTATTAAGTTAACTCATTAACTTAGAGTACCACAGGTTTCAGGCGAACATTCTCGGGCAGACTCTGATTGGTGTTCAGCAGCTGTTTAAATTCCTTCTGGAGTTCAACAATCCTCTTCTGCTTTGCCACAATCTTCAGCTCGGCCTCCCGACGCTGGCGGTCCTTCTCTAGCTTCTGCTTAGCCGTCTCTATGCTGGAGGGAGACGGGGTGCGGGTCAGAAGGTTAGATGAGATCAAACTTTTATGATTTTCTTGTGTTACAGTGACCTCTAAATATAGGTGTAGCTAAATCCAAGCAATTCCCAAAATAATGAGGAATAAAATACAGACAGTTTGTCAACTGTACAAATATTTCATAAGAAATAAAGGAAAATGAGAACATAAGAACAAAGAAAAAGAGGAGGACCAAATTGTCCTTAACCAGATTATTCACACTCACCTGTAAGCTGCTGGGTCCTCAATGTCTTGGGCTAATGCCTCATTCTCAAGACCCACCTGTTAGAATAATTCGTGAACAAGATACTACTTTTTTATTGAATTCATCTACATCCATCCAATTATCCAAGCTATCTATTTCGTTGATAAACTGTTTTTTTGACCGCCAAAAATTCAGAACCATGTGATGAGTTCTACAAAAAAACAACTTGTGACAATTGCAACAGTTTAGACCTGACCAAAAGTCTGGGGATTAACATTAATTAGAATAAAATATGAGGACAAAAAGCATGAGTTTATATATATATACTTAAAAAATATAGAAACTGCTGATTAGCATTAAACACAAAGTATAGCTGAGGCTGATATTGCTTACAAACCTAATTGGATGAACTGAAACCTTAATATGATGATAGTACTGGATGAAAAGTTCATGCAAATCTGTCAATAGTTATTTCACTCAAAACCATAAGTGTGAACCTCATGGTGGCGCTAGAGATAAGATCAGAGGATCACCAAAGTTACTAGGATACATCATCTGTGAGCATAGCCATTCATCCAATGAATGTTGAGATACTTCAGTCAATCAGACTGTCTTTGTTATCCATAAAACCTCACTGCTAGTGTGGCTAAAAAGACACAGGAGAAAAGCAACAATAATATGTTAATAAAATGTGGACTGACCCTGGGTGAAGGAACCTTGGCCCTCTTTCTCCGCAGGCCTTTCTCTAGCTCCTCTGGAGGAAGCAGGGTGAAGGAGAAGATGTTCCCGTCGTCTCCCGCTGTCAGCACAAAGTGGTCATCATGGCCACAGCGGATGTGCCGCAGGTGTCCATATTGGTTGTCGTGGACGCTGAGAGCCCAGTAGGCCTGCATGGAGGTGAGGCTTTGGTCACCAGGCTGCAGAGGGTAAACCCTGATGGAGCCTGAGTGCATGCCGCAGAGCAGCAGCTGCCTGTTGGAGCTACAAAACCACAAAACGCCAGGAAATAAAACTTTATACTATTCGATAGGTAAATAGTAATAGTAATGGCTCTAAAGGAGTCCTTAATCTTATTTCACACTAGAGTGGGTTTTTATTTCTTATTTTAAACAGGCTGTCTGTGTTAAATCTTAATAGATTTAAAGCTGCACTAAATAATCTAAATAAACCAGGAGCGACATTTTCACATGATATTCAGTACTTTGATTTATTGTTGATATAAAGAATACTGATTTGTTAGTTTCCACTCCGGCTACCTGAAGGTGATGGAGCGAATAGGGTCATCGTCTGCATTGTGGACAGGAAGGAAGTCAAAGGGCTCGTCCTGCAGCTGGTCCGGATCCTGGTCCTGCTTCTCAGAAAACTTACAGTGATACAAGAAACCTGAGTCATAGCCTCCCTGCAGGAGAGAGAGAAATGGATTCAGTTAACCATGCTAAGCAGCTGGACGAGATCATGATATCAGGTATTAAGCCATGCGCTTATGTCCTAAGCACAGTGGTTTGGACCAATCTGCGTCCTTTGAGGACGTTAGCGTAGATGCTGCTAGCATCAGTCAGACCAGAACTGAGTACTTCTTTATTGAAAAAAGAGCAAAGAACAGCACTGGAGGTTTTTCTCTATGGAAAAGATATTTCCACTCTTCTCCTGATTGGCTATGGTAAGAGTTTGACTACGTTAAATGGTCACCTGCCCTGTGCACCTTTTCAGACAGTTTCCAACAACGACTACCCAGATAGTTCTGTGTAACAAATCATCTGGCACAGTCAGGTTAGGATTAAAAACAATGGAACTGGGTATCATTTGAACAGGTTTTAAATATAGTTTTAAAACAATCTGTGTTTTACCTTACCATACAGGAGCTGATTACAAATATAATGTAATATAATAGAAATAGAAACTGTAAGAGTAAGTGAAGATTACAAATTAGGCTGAACGTCTGAATACTTTTGGATAATTGGATAATTTTTAATACTCTGTGCTACAGACCCATTTCGGATGATACTGAAAAAATTATTGACGTGTGAGTGTTTGTCTGTGTGTGTACCATGGAGAGCCAGAACTGGCCAGGCTCTGAGTAGAAGCCACAGTAGAGAGGACTTGGAGGGTCAGGGATGTAGAGAGGGGGCAACTCTTCCTTTTCTTCCTCTTCTTCTTCCTCTTCCTCCAGCTGCTTTGATTCTTTCAACCTCTCTTCTCTCTCTTTCTTCTTCTTCTCCTTTACAGCTTGTCGTCTTGCAATTTCCGCCTCCCTCTGAAACACAAACAAACAAACACAAATGAGTTAGTTAGTTAGTTAGTTATATCTAGTAAAACCATGCATTGAACGTTTTAAAGAAACTTTAAGATTTTAAGAAAGGAAAATACTTGAGTGACACATGGCAAGTAAAAGAGTAATTATAATGTAGATTACATACATAACATACAGTATAACGTAATATAGCGGTAAAAAGGGACATATAAAACTATACAAACTAAAGCTAAGACAGACCAGGCTCATACCTTGATTCGAGATTTGATGCTCCTGAACCTGAAAGATCTGCTGGGCAGTTCAGGCAGCTGGAAGGTTTTGTCCAGTTTTTGGGCCTCTGGATCAGGATTCTGCACCTCAACCACGTGACCGCTCTGACACAGGACCAACAGCTTGTTTTCACTCTGGTTAAGATTATAAAAAAATTCATTAGTTGGATCAATAATGTTAAATCACAAATGTATATAGAGATATTTAAGTGCAAGGACCAGACTCACGTGGGAATGAGGCGACCACTCCAGTGCCTGCACGGGCCCCGGAACGCCGACAAAGCCGATGGGGTTGTATTTTTCCCCGACAGTGAAGAAGAACACAGTGCAGTCTGAGCTCTGAACAGGAAGATGGTAGTGAGAGGTCAGAAAGGTGAGGTGAACTGGACTAATAAACTGACTGTAGAAACTTCTCAAAACTCTCTTGCGGCATAATCCACATTTCTACCATTTTCAGTGCTACAAAACTAAACATGACACCAGATCGCAGGTTCAAGTATTTCCATTCCATGTCTGAATTTATGTGAATTTAGATATTGAAATGAAACCAAGCAGGTTCATGTGTTTTCATTGCTCGTTACGAAGTAAAATCTTTCTGAGCTATGTGGTTTCTGTCAAGTTTTGTCAGAAATTAGTGTCTACCTGACGTCTGGCTAACAGTTAAAATTCTCAAAGTGAAACAGCTTTTACCTTTTGTAAAAAATAGCCATGTCCCTTATACTAACTGTGGGAGACATTTCTGGCACTATGCACCTTGCAACTAAATGAACAGCAACACAACTCTATTTAGAGACACTCATTCTTTAGAGATGCTTTAAAGGTTCAGTGTGTTGGATTTAGTGGCATCTAATGGTGAAGTTGTATATTGCAACTAACTGAGTGCTGCTTTGACGACCAGAGAATGGGAACGGGCTCTGAAGTGTGTAGGAGGGACTATGGTTGCCGTGTTACTCGCAATAAACACCCTATTTACTGGCAGTGTTTCGCTTGCCCGTTGTGGGTTACTGTAGAAACATGGCAATTCAACATGGCGGACTCCATGGAATGCAACCCGTGGCATCTGTAGATAAAAACGTCTCATTCTAAGGTAACGAAAACACACTATATACAGGTGATTATACACTAATAAAAACATACCTGTGAATATTATATTATATTTCTTGGACCTTTAAAACTTTACTTGTTGATATTAATGGACCAATGTGTTTCATGAACGTAAACAAGCATTTTGACTGCTGCATCCTGTGGCTCTCAGTGAAAAACACAATTTTCCTAGAAAACATCTTACCCCTGTGGCTAAGATATCTCCATTTCGCTCATACGCAACAGCAGTTACAGGGGCATTATGGGGTTTAAAGGCCTGTTTGAGGCGCAGCGAGGCATCTCCTTTGAAGCTGTGCCCGGTCACTACATGCAGCCTCTGAGGGTCGTACAGCTCCAGCAACCGGACCACCCCGTCCTCAAAGCCGGTCACCAGTAAACCTCCACTCTGGTTCACCTAAAGATAAACACCAGGTCAGTTTAGGGTTAGGGTTAGGGTTAGTCACATACTCCTGTGGTAGTGTGATACATTTTCACAGTGACACACTTACCAGAGGTGGAGCCCAGCTGAGAGCAGTTCCACCCTGATTGAAGCGGCTGGTGGTCAGTTCTCTTTTTGCGAGGAAGTCAAAAACTTTAACTGAACCTGGAGAGCATGGGCAGACACAGTACCTGTTATAGTGTGTGTGTGTGTGTGTGTGTTTGGAAACGTGCAGTATGTGGAAATGTTTGTGACTCACGGTCCAGAGCAGTCGTGGCCATCAGGTGGGATTTCCTTGACACATCCATGCCCTGGATCAGCCCGGCGTGGAAGGAAAACAGGCACTCTGGATCAGGGGTCTGGACACACAGAACACACATCGACTGTTATCGTTGCACTGGGCGAGCACACTGTGTATTCCAGTCACTTATTACAACATGTGATGATACAATATGGTTTGGAGTATAGTTTTCCATTTAGATGAGACAATATTACCCATACATCACCATAAACACATATCCCCCTGAAAATCAATGTAATGATAACCTTTTTCCTGTTTGTTCTCTTTGTGTTTGTCTTTCTCCTTTCTGGTTCTTAGATATGCTATATGCTAGGCTCATCTATGTTATAAAGACAACCTCATTTTAAAGATGGGTAAAAGATAATGTGACACATACAGTCAGATCTTAAGTATGTTCATGTTAGCAAACTGTTATTTAACTAATGGAGAACTATAAAAGCCTAAAGTGTAGGAAACTCACCGTGTAAGTGAATGAAAGATCCAGTTTCCAGATAGCTCCGCTGGAATCCTACAGGACCACATAGTGGAGAGATCAGGTTTGGATTTGTGCTGGAGGTGAGGCTAGATTGTGTATTACAAATGGTTTTAATAAGTGCTCTCTGACCTGGGCAAACCAGACGAAGGAGTCAGGCACGGAGCTCCTCACCATAGAGGAGAGGCAGACGTTGTATCCAACCACCATCTCATTCATGGGCTCCATCTCAAACTTGCCGCCGTCGCTGCTACTGTCGGCAGTGTCGATGCTCTCAAAGTCCCAGCCCTGCAGGGGGCAGAGGGAGGGGAGTCACACAGATTATATTAAAACTGATTACAGACAATAAATCTCCATCAGGATCTGCTAAATTAGGCTTATTCGAGCCGTCAATAAGTATTTGAAAACCTTCAAAAATGCAACTTAAAAAAAAAGAGCTTCAGAATGCAAGCACATTTTAACATTTTACAGAATATGTCTAATTTGATATATATTTAACTTGTAATCATCTTTTTAAACTTCCTTTTTCTTATTTATGCAATTCATATTCTCCCTGTTATTTTTTATCTATAACTGTTAATGTCTGCATATTTGTCAAATTATTTGTGCATCATTTTGGACATGTAACTAGCAGAAACTAATGGGGACCCTATAAAACAATAATCTTGCCACCTCTGCTTTTGTTACACGGGATTCAGAACGTATTTAGGGACAGACTATGATGGTTTTGGTCTTTTCATGGAATTTGTTAACAGTCTGAACCTAAATCCTTTCATTTCTGACTACAAACTTGACGGATCAGATCTAAGAGTGAAGCATTTTGAGGTTATGTTATCTTACCCGAACCACTCCATCAGTGCCCATCGTCATAAGCTGTCCATCTTCTAGGGCAAACGGCTGGACCATCCCGGCGTGGCAGTTCCGACCCTCTTTACGGCAAATCTCCACCTTGATGGCATTTCCGTCCCAGAGCAGCATGTTGCCCCAGTCTGAGCCGGACACCACCTGACAGAAGGAGACGAGGGGCAACAAGGGTCAGAGGTTTGACAGCAGTTGACAAAAACAAACTTATCAAAGAGTCCACCCAGTACCTGCATCAGAACAGCTTTTGTGCTATTATCAACCTTGTGGTGAGATTGTTTGGTCAGAAACATATGAAATAAAAAAAAGTTAATAATTATTTTGTGTTGCTTTCTTACTTTTTCCACATCTTAATGTCTAGATTTGACTTTGGTCTAAGATTTATGCTTAAAATCATCTTGTTGCTGCTTCCATGAAGGCTTTTATGTTCCCTTAGTCAGAGAAATTATTATTCACTGCGACGTATGTCTCTTGTGAGATTACATGGATCATTGGACAAAATTAAACAAAAAAAATAAAAAAATATTTGCACACCATTCCTAC